TTTAAAATACAGTATGAAACAACAGTGATATGATGTATTTTTATAGTTAATTGTTATTAACTGTATTATTTTGGTATGGTATGATACAGCATTACAGTGTTAATTTTTGTGAAACTCTGAAGTTTCTGTGAAACTGCATGTTGCTGTGTTGTACAGCTACCGCAGCTAATGCTTCTGCTTTCCAGAGCATCTGGAAGTGTTTTATTGAATGATGTCCACATACATTAAGTTAGTTTTCTAGATGGATTTCAGGCAGTTTAAACTTTGCAAATTCCAGTTAGTTATTTTCAAATCAGATTTATGCTGTTTGTCAACATTTTGCATGTTTTTGATTGCTAAAATACATCAATGAAGGTTGGGCAGAGTTTCTGCTGCTTGAGTCTTAATATATTTTGACAACTTATTTACAGCTGAATGGTTTATCACTACCTTGTATGAAATCTTCCAGGGACTTACTATTTAACATCCTGGGAAAAATAGATTTTGGAACCTGTTTTGACACCCTGAGAAGAAAAGAGCAACTGTTCCGTTCACTCATGTGGAATTCGTCCCTGACACCTTCAAACAGATACTTAACAATACTCGTCTGTATGTGCATTCAAAGTCGTTTCATTTAAATCTAGTGACATCTGACTCTGAAAGCTTCTGCACATCCTGGGCTTCTTTTAAGTTGTTGAGCATGTTTAGTACTAGTTAGGATTAGACCCAGTTTTTCTGTAGCTCTAAGGGCTCTGCGGAGCTGGCTGTCAAATTATTGAGTGGCATTTAAAAGTGTACAAGTGCTGTCTGGTGTTCCAGATTGAAGATAAGGAACATCTGTTGTGGGTTGGGAATAATACCTGCTCTGTCCCAGGGTTCATTAACTTCAGGGGAATTACAGACTGATGACAGGATGATATTTTCTACTCAGGAATTAGGCATGGCCATAAGTACAGGGCATTGCAGAGCTGTACCACGTAAGATTTTTTGTGCTGCAAGACTATTAAGTTAAACGTCTTGTAAAATAGAATACAAAGATCTGTGTTTTTTGATGTTATTTTACAATATTTTAAAAAATTTCTTCTGTCAACATTTTTCTCTTCCTTTTCTTGAGCAGTTTGGCCTTCCAGTTGTCGTCTCCGCTTGGTTTCATGCTAGATTACTCATCATATATTGTGTTTTCTGTGACTGAAGTTAAAAAAAAAAAAAAAAAAGGACATTCTAATGTGTACTAACAAAAATTTGGCATTAGATGGCATAATACTGATAATGATAAGGTCCACATCTTTACTTATTGTGGCTTGGTATCAGAGACGAAAGGCAATGGCAAGATGTCTGTATGACCTGTGTATCGCAGCGGGCAGCCCCCTGTGGTAAGTCCAGCCGCATGGCTGACCCGCGGGGAGGAGAGGGCCACGCTCCCTGGCTGCTCCTCGTCCCCTGCCTGCGTGACCCGGCCGCCACTCTGTCTTGCAGTGTGGTGGTGGTGCGATGCGATGGGGGATAACTGCGTTTTGATCACCTCGTGGGTGCTAACTTCCAGTCGGTTAAGGAGGAGAGTGCCGGGAGGGGAGGAGAGCAGGGAGCAGCCCGCCCAGCTTGCTGCCAGCGGGGCCCAGCCAGCAGGCGAGGCTCCTCGGTTGATAGGCAAAAATATTTTCAAAGACAATCATCTTGACTTTCACCAGCAATTGGCAGAAATTGACTCAAGAAGTGGTTATCCTATTGAAAATAGAATAATAATGGAAGTAGCAAAAATACTGGTTCGATCACTGTTGGTGATTATGTCTGGTTTTCCTATCCTTAGAAATATTTGAGTAAAAGCCAAGTTTAGATGTGCACTCATTTAATAATGATTTTCCCATTAGCTGTGTGCAACTTTTCTAAAACTTGCAGAGAAACCTATTTGGTATATCATAAATATTGTAAAAATGAGACCTTTCAGTTTAGTTGCATGCGATTACCTACCTTGATAACATTTTCTTATTCTTGCTGTGAATTCCAGTGCATTTTTCTCCTTTTAGCTATGGTAGAGTTGTACATTCCCAATCTAAATTGGCAAGTATATCAGTTGGCCTACCCAACCTCCACAGCTTGGTGGCTGTTTTGCTGGCTTTGGCGGGGACTGTGCACCAGGCTGAGGTGGTGGCAGGAGCTCCGAGGGGTCCCGAGGGGTCCCACCTGTGCTGCTGTGTGCCCGCTGTATGGAAACCCGTGAACTGGGGGGGACAGGCAGGCTTCACCCATCCACCTCATCCTTGGTGGCCTGGTGCAGACCAGCCCTTTGAACTGTGGCAATTGTACCTGGGCACAGGAATGGCGGAGCCTGCCATGGTGCTCTTGGCACCATCCTAGGATGTCTGTTGGTTGGCAGCGGATGACAGAGGAGCATTAAACTCTGCAGTTAAAATGCAGTGGCAATTAAGTTCTGTGAAGAATTACTATTGCAAGAGAAGGACATTTCTTGTTAATGTTTTTGTCATTGTGACTGGGATTGTTTGCCTTTTCTATTTTTAAATTTCTTCCTAAGCTTTAAAAAACGTTCTGTTTTAATATACAAAGCAAAGCTCCTAAGGTGTCCTAGAACAGGTAGGCAAGTGGTTTCAGTAGGGTGGGAGGGAGGGAAACAGGCAATAAAACTTACACAAACATCTCTGTAGGGTTTTCCTTTTTGTCAGTTTACATGTGAAATTTGAATAATGGTTGAACTTTCTATTTTTTCCTGGTATGCTGCCACTGCTTTTTTCCGTTAATTATCTCATTTTCCCCCCCTTGTTTTCTATGATCTGATTGTCCAACTCACTCCACAGATGATAATGAATAATCAGGTCTTTTGGCTTTGTGTTTCATGGCACAGATTATGTGCAATGAAAGGTTTTACTCTCAATATCAGGTTTTGAGTACAGGGATACTTGGAACAGTGAGTGGAGCTACAGCTGGAGAGCAGATAAACTGTTTTCCCTTATTTGTGAGACTTCTGCTTTAGTTATTCATTCAAAGATTTACACCAGTCAAGATCCCATCGGGGGATGACCCTAACTGGTTGGAGTGGCCTGAGTTCTAATGAGTAACGTGCAGTTTGTAAGGCTTGAGCAAGATAGTGTCGTAGACATGGAAATGATGAAAAAGGTTTAGTGAAGTGGTAGAGATCTTTACATGATGAGTCAGCAAGATGAAATGAAGGGGAACTTTTTATTTAATGGGAATGAACATGAGTCAAGGATTATCTAATCTGATTTCTCATAATCTTCAGCAGAGAAACTTGTGCTTAAATTTTATTACAAGAGAAGTTTTGTTTAGTTAGAAAGCAACTTGTTTTTTATAAGGTTTCATCCAAAACAAAAATATAGGTAAACTTTAGAGAAGATTCCTCCACCTCAGTCATGTTTTGATGATCTGGTAATGAAGCACTGATAACTGATTTCTTGAATGGCATGAAAACCAGTGCTACATTTAATATATTTGGACTGCTTTCCTACTAATATAAAAGTTTAGTGTTCAGATTTGAAGAAGTGATTTTGAGGGAAGTAACTGAAAAATTTAAAACCTAGATGGAGACAAGATGGAGACAAAAGCATCTGCAATGTTGGCAAGAAATCTGAATGTTATATAGTGTTTAAGCTGAGTATTACTGGAGCAGATACAGGGGGTTTGGTTAATTCATTAAGTAACGTCTTTCTTGTTAGGGACATCTTAGGTCTTTCCTTGGAAGCGCTTACTAATTGGAATAAAATATGCAGCACTGTAAAAAAGTGCAGTTTTTCATCTGGCCATTCATATGGTTCTCAGCTAGGGCTGAAATCTTACAAAGCTAAATCATACTTCATACAGAGACAATAGTGGTCTACAATACAATATTATTGTCTGGAGTGTTACAGTCTAGAATATGAGTAGAATATTATGGTCTAGAATACAATTTCACAATTTTTTATGTATAGTTGTCTTCAAAAGAAGACTTTTCAATGAGTAGTAACACATTTCTTTTTAAATGAAAGGCATTATCTCATACTGTTAACACACTATTATGTTAAAACAGACTATATGTACTTTATATATATAAAATCACTTTACTTCTTTCCATAATCAAATAGGATCTTAAAATGTTATTTTTGAATCACAACCATTCCTATGTTGACTGCAGAGTTTTTAATGTGAATTTTTAGCAAACAAATCAGAAGCCTCATTAAAAGTCCCACTCTAGGAGTTAACTGGCCACTTTATGTTCTAAAATGTCAGCTGATTTGCTCTAGAGAGAAAAATGTAGTGTTGGATTTTTCCATTCAGCTAACTCACCTACTAAAATAATAATACTGGAACAGTTGAGTATGGCTGCATGCATCAGGATAAAGAGGAATTTCAACCAGAACAGCGGGAGGGAAAAGTGGAGGGAGCTAATTGTTAACTTGGGAAATTGGAGGAAGCTTGTATGGAAAAGAACATTGATAGTGCAACATAATATTGTTCAAATAAGTCCTTTGCCTCATGGTGGAAATATGCAAGTTTTTTTAATATTTCCCATTATCTGTTCATACAGTCTGGATTTGTCCTTGAATAAAAATACATGAAATATACTTGTGGTGTTTTAATTAAAATAAATAGGGCGGAATAGGATTTAACATGATTGCGTAGTGAACCTAATGAGTTCAAGATCCAGCAGTGCTTTACAGATTAGTTGCTATATGGTACCATTAGTTCCTAATTTTATCTATAATATTTGGCTCTGAGCTTTTAATAAATTAATCAATCAGACTGGGACCACTTGAAACAATTAAACTTGAAACCTCTGGATTGTTGGTCTCAAATAAATGACCTAAATTAAAATAATGCTTAGATAATCTATAGTACTCCTTATTGGTAATGCAAGCAATAGGTTTAATTGTGTTCTCTAACTGTTCTTGCTCTTAAGGTCTGTTTGATTTCAGAGGGATTCATTTTTATTCCATTACAGCACAGTAGCTAAGAGCCGAACTGTAGTTTTTTTCTGTAAGAACATACGTTGTAACTTTCTATAATATCCACAGGTTTTAGGACCTGCCCCAAAATGGTGTTCCTTCTTGGACAACTTGACTGAAGAGCTGGAAGAGAATCCGGAGAGCACAGTTTATGATGATTACAAATTCGTTACCAGAAGAGACCTTGAAAATTTAGGTAAAACAGTTGAATCTCCTCTTTAGTTGACTTCTTTGTTCAGTTTTTGATCATTTACACATGTAAGTTTTGTAATTCGGATGTTAGAAATTCACTGGCAGTAGTTTCATTCAGTCTTTTTGGTTATTAATACACCAGACTGATGGCTTTATGTTCTTTGGTTCCCAACCAGTGCAACAGTAGATATTTGTGTTTCTCAGATTTTTATCCCAAGAAGAAGATTGATACTTGCTGATTTAATATGTTTAGGAATCTGTTGTGGGTGCTTTCAGACACTAAGTGGAAGGCATAGGAAGAGAAGTTGGTGTAGTTTTCAAAATATTTTTGAGGTGCTCAAATAGTATATTGGAACTCACAGCAAAATTAAGAAAAGATTCACCTGCCAAAGGCAACCCTAATTGAATGTAGTAATTTCCAGAAAATACATATCATTCTAGGGCTAATAGAAACACAGTTTCAGGGAACTGGAATGCTGAAAATTATATAGCAGAGAAAGTAAGCATGCTTCTTCCAAGGTATCTAGTCCTTTTTCTGTCCGTTACGTGTTTTGTTTGCAATGTTTTGCTCCAGTTTAATTTAATTAATTTACCTCTGAATATGGGAGTTGGGTTTGGCCTGGCAGGAGGCCATACAAGGAGGAGGTCATCCAAAGCACCTGCATCTTCAGCGTTAGTGTTCTAGAGTAGATGGTCTGAATGTAGCCCGCAGACCTGTATCCCAATCGTAAGGGAATAAGGCAATGTAGTATTATCTACACAGAGGCTTGACTGGGAATACTTATTCTGCTTTAAATTCACTATATCTTAGTCAAATTTATTTCCCCATAAATGCAAGCTTTCAAATGAAGAACCAGCTTCAGGGATATTTTGTATTTCATATGTCAGGGTTTCTTTGTATTACTGGCCATTAGCTGGAGTACTCTCATTTTGGAACATGCAGAAAGATTGTCTCCTGGAAACAGGTAAAAAAACTTTTCAAGACAACTTTGCACTCTGAGATGCACAGTGGTTTTTCACTTTTTTTGCTATTTAGTTCTAGAAGAAGATTGTTAATTCTTAATTTCTAAAGATTTGGGGTCTGTGGAGGATATTTTGGTATTAAAAGGTTTTCCTTTTGTCAGTCTTGGAATTTTGTAGAGATACATGGAAGGAAAATCAGAGAACTCTTAAGTATTTTCATTCTTACTTAGATTAGGGCCTAGGGTGACAGTTTTAAGACCTGATGTGGTACTGTATTTTTTTCAACACGTTGATTCTTCAAAGATAGTGACCCAAGGCAAAACTCTGTAATTAAAAACATTTCTATACCACACTAAAAAAGTGATTGTCAAACATCTATGGACTTTCAAAAAAATTCTCTTGAATTTTTCTTTGTAAACTTTTATGGAGCGTAGTGCATGTGGGCATTTTTAAAAAGTGCACAGTAACATGTATTATGACAAGAAAAATGAATTTCGTTGCTCTGAAGAAGCTCAAATTTCTTGCTGGCCAAACTGATTTTTTTTTTTTTTTTGCGGTTTTATTTAGTCTTGATATAATGGATGTGACTGTTAGATTGATGTGCTGCGTTGGCAGTGCTTGTTTGTCTTGAATCGGGTAAGTGAAGTGGCTAGCTTGGAATAGGAGTTCTTTATACATGAAAGCTTTTTGAAATCCTCTGTAACTTTTTTCCCTAGGCCTTGCTCATCTCATTGGGTCATCATTGCTCAGAGCATATATGCATGGCTTTTTCATGGACATAAGGCTTTATCATAAGGTAAATAAGGCTGACCCTTGTCAATTTTTACTCTTAATAATAAAATAAGTGTGTTGGGTTTTTGTTGGGGTTTTTTTTGTGGGTCTTTTTTTCGCCAGGACTGTGTCCTGTATTAATGGTATTTTCTTTTTACTTCCTCCTGCTGTTCAAAGGCAAAAATGATGGCCAACCCCTTTGCCTATGAAGAATACAGAAGAGAGAAAATAAGGCAGAAGATAGAAGAAACACGTGCACAGAGAGTTCAACTAAAGGTAAATCCTGCAAACAATGAGTATACTTCTGGGAAAACTATTCATAAAGAGTAATATATTCCTAAGTATATTTCAGAGATGTAATGACTTAGGACTTGATTCTGTTTATCATCAGAGACACAAGTAATTTATAGAACTTTTTGAATGGAACCGTAAAATTCCCATGTGTGTGATTCCCACAGATGAGAAAGCCTGATACAGAACTGTAAAAGAGCAGCTCTTGTCACATTTGCCACTTGGGTGGGTAGCTCACTGGTGAAACTTGCAGTTCCTACTTCTGTCATTAAACTAAACGACTTAAGCCATTAAAATATAATACTCTGGAAAGAGATATATAAAAATAGCATTGTGTTTATAACTAGTAGCTTTCTAGATTGAATTTACTCAACATACAAGGAGAAATAATTGCTTTTAAAGTACTAAAGCTGATGCATTACAAGGAAAAAACGATACAGAAGTTCTGCTTAAATTTTCTGCAAGCGCTATTGCTTTACTAGTACCTACAAATATTTGGAACCAGTCAACGAGTTATAAGAATGAGTAAGAATTCTCTCTTCACCACACTTAGAATTGTAAAGCATGTAGGTTTTCGCATGTGTAAAAGAGTATTTACTGATTAATTGCTTTCCTCTCTTTAGAAACTTCCAAAAGTCAATAAAGAGCTTGCACTCAAACTAATTGAAGAAGAAGGAGAAGAGCAACAGGTTACTAGAAAAAGGAAACAGAAGGTGAGCTTTTGTTTTGGAGACTCCTCTAACTGGGAGCACAGAAATAGTAACTGTACAGTTACTATTCTGTAAGCTAATATAGTAGCTTACAGTATTGATTTTGTTGTTTTGGGTTTGTTTTTTTGTTTTGTTTTTTTTTTTGTTACCTGGCCAAACAGATTGAAAATTCCATTGTTTCTGTTTCTCATAAATAACTTATTCTAGTAGGTGGCTTTAAGGTGTACTTCACTGTAGCTGAAGCACCAAAAAGGCCATGTAGTAACTTAAAACTTAAAATGATGAAATACTCACTGTGAAGATGATACGGACTTCGTAGGACTCCAGAAGGTAGCTAAATGCAGAATCAATACCAAAGTTATTCTAAAAAGACTTGTTGTTTGCATTTGTTGGTATTTTGGTGGTGACCATGGCAAGATAGATGTTATCTGTAAAACTGAAGATACAGTTGCCTTTCCAGTTGCCAAAACCAGGACATTTGTGTACACAGTTAACTACATTTCATAAAACAGCCAAAATGGTTCGCTCTTATGCAACAGGAGTTCTTCCTGATGTTGAAAATAATCAAATTTTTATCTGAAGTGAATCTAAAGGAAAAAATGAGTTAATGTTTAATATCTTGGGGGGCTGGGGGGACTTTCTATAGGTAGCACTTAATAGGTGCTCATTCTCACAGGAATAGAGCATTCATGAAAGGCAGGCATTAGCTTCATGTGGCATCTAATGAAATCGAGTGTGTTACAGTTAGTAGGAAGCATGAACTACTGAAAAAGTAGGTGGTGGTAAAACCTTAAATGCAAGACTGTCTAAGCCGGTGTTACGATGGAAATATGAGTTCAATAAATGGGGGCTGATTTGTCTAGGAGTACATATATATTGTGTTATTAAGTGGACTGAAAAGAGTATACATAAAAATGCATGTCCTGGTTATTTTCCTGAAATGGCATCAGAGTCTTACGAAGAGCAATTTATTTTATGCTTTGGGATTTAATTTTTGGCTGTGTAACTGCAAGTCACACATTTGCAACAGTTTCTGTGTTTGAAATTTACACTTCTTGTTTCCTGTATGTTGGGGTTTTTTTCTTCTCTCCCCACTTCTTAGGTAACAATGAAAATTTAATGCTGGGGTGGGATGAATGTGCTGGTATAAGTTTGGCAATGTTGAGAGATCAGCTTTTTATAATAAAAAGCTATGTATTCAATGACTTTAAAATGACGACAACAGGTATTCAGATAAGCTGAAATTGTGGCTTAGAACTGTTCCTAATTCAACGGTAGCATAACTTACACTGAATTCATTTTACTTTGACATGAATGAAACTGCCTTTTTCATTCTGTATGCAAGGGCAGTGAAGAAAAAGTGTTATAAGATGTATAGAAACACTTACTCTTATGTATTTACAGTAAAACAGTAGTAGCATTGCATAAAGATATGTTTACCCTGATAATTTGTTGTACATGTTGTAGAATCATCCCTGTCAGGCAGGGTATTTGCCTTGGAGGTACTGCTGATTAGTCAATAGATATCAACACGTCTCCAGACAAGCTGGCTGAATGTATGAGAAACATTAATTCAAAAATATTAGTTATTGTGTATTTAAGGTGTCTATGGTGTGCATAAAAAAACCTGTCTTGCTTACAGGTAGCTTAGAATGATATTTATTTGATCTTTGAAAGTAATAAAATATAATAAACATAAATCTTGATTTTATATGACCTGGAAGGATAAAGCATCTGGCATTTCACATGCTGGTTTTGAGTTTTGTTTAATTAAAAAGGTGTTACTTTACCGATGTCTCTTTCAGAGTTTTATAACTCACTCATGCTTTGCTTCTTTTCCAGAATCTGCCTAGCCTTCTCAAAGATGATCGTTTTAAGGTCATGTTTGAGAATCCAGATTTCCAGGTGGATGAGCAGAGTGAAGAATTTAGGCTACTTAACCCACTTGTTTCTAAAATAAGTGAGAAAAGAAAGAGGAAACTAAAGATTTTAGAGGAGCTGGAAGCACAAGAACAGGTAAAATATTTTCCATTTGGATTAGGAAAAATCCAGGTTTTTTTTCTTTGTTTAAAGCATTCAGATTTTTCACCCTAGAAGGAAGGAAAGATGGAGGCAATGCAAGAATGTCTTATCAGCTACAGTAATTAAGTGTAACTTGTAATGTTATCCTAGTTTTTAGATGTGAACAATATTGTGTCTACATGAATATAGGTTTGAAAAACATAAAATATGTCGGTGGAAGCAATTTTATAATGTATCATCTTCTTCATTTGCTGTTACTGCTTTTATTCAAATTTTAGTTCTCTTCAACTGTGTCTATGTAAAAGCTGTCACGTACTCTACTTGCAGGAATGGTTTGAAAAGAAAATTAGTTGATGATTTCTTATTTTATACTATTTTTGCCTGCAGGAAGAGGAGGAAGAACCAGAAGGAAAAGCAAGTGATGCAGAAAGTTCTGAGAGTTCAGATGATGAAAAAGGCTGGGTTGAAGAGGTCAGGAAACAGCGCAAGCTTCTACGCCAAGAGGAAAAAGTAAAGCGGCAGGAAAGGTTCAAGGAGGATCAGCAAACATTACTGAAACCTCAGTTTTTTGAGATTAAAGAAGGAGAGGAATTCAGAAGCTTCAAAGACTCTGCCAAAAAACAAAAATTAATGAAGTAAGACTAATGTTCCTATTTTCATAGCTGGGGGTGGACGATTCTCAAGTATTTGTCTACAATGGAGGCCAGTGGCATTTTGGCTTGGAAGCACTTACTAGTGAAGCCACATCTGGCGATTCAGGGATATAACTTAAAGCGACATAGTTGTTGAAAGCTTTGTTTTGTAGTTAAACAAATATAATGTTTAAAGTATGGCAGAGAGACAACACAAATGAGATGAGTAAGAGATTAATATTCTGAGCCAGATTTGGGGATCCATTACTCAAGTGTTGGTGAACAGCTGCTCTCACAAATAACAACGCTGATGTCTGTGAGGCTGGTTATATTTCTCGACCAGTGTCAGTATGAGGTTGACAGTCTGGATGTTTTTCATCTGACCCTCTAAAAGGATGTAGAATACTGCATGACTGGCCACTATTTTGGGGGTAGGATCAAGGTGGTAAAAGAAAAATTGTTTTGTCTGGGTATTTTTATGGCATCCAGAAACTTTCAAAAAAAAACTATGCTGTCCTTACATTGTCAGGTCTCACTATTTCTGTTTTTCTTTTTGCAATACAAAAAAATCAAACTTTTTTTTTTTAATTTGGATTTCCTTAAATTGATGATCAACTAAAGTAATTGGGTACTGTATAAAGAGTACGTCAAACTAAAAGACTTGGCTTTGAGGTGCTTAATGCCTGCAAATCTCATTGATTCCACACACCACACCCCGCCCCC